AGAGGCAGGTGGCAAGTCATTTCACAAGACACAGATAAGACCAGACCAAGTGACATCATTGTTATTGTCAAACTCTCTCCTTCAAGCAAATATTTTCTTCTCCATGACAACATTTGCGAGAGCAGAGGCAACTGAGACAGTGTGTTAGGAGGAAGACGTCCATCAAAGATAAACAAACCACATTGTTCCAAATGCACTACATAGGGAATAGGGTGCCATTTGGGACGCAGAGACTGAGACACAAACATTGCTCCCCAAACAAGCTGCTATAAAGAATCTCCAATGCTCCAGTACAGTAGTAGACAGGGCAGTGGTGGAATATCTAGGCATATAGTACTGTATGTGGCACATACGTATGGCTATACGATGCATGGACACCATATAAAAACATGAATGAGTCTGAAGTAAAAGGAGATTTCTACGTTTATGATTTGGACCCGGGCAGCTTTACGAGGCATGGGCACCATATGATGCTATTCACTCTAGAACAAAAAGGGTCTGCCCAGTGTTTCTGATTCAGACCCATCTGCAGTAAATATTTTTTTACCAGGTAAGTTGACTGAGAACACGTTCTCATTTACAACAACGACCTGGGGAATAGTTACAGGGAAGAGGAGATGAATGAGCCAATTGGAAGCTGGGGATGATTAGGTGGCCATGACTCTTATGATAAGGGATCTTTCATTACCACAGAGAGTCAGGACACCCATTTAACATCCCATCCAAAAGACAGCACCCTACACAGGGCAATGTCCCCAATCACTGCCCTTGGAATTTTCTTTTTTTAGACCAGAGGAAAGAGCACCTCCTACTGGCTGTTCAACACCACTTCCAGCAGCATCTGGTCTCCCATCCAGGGACAAACCAGGACCAACCCTGCTTAGCTTCAGAGGCAAGCCAGCAGTGGAATGCAGAGTGGTATGCTGCAGGTATTCTGATGAGAACATAGACTATATGGGCATCTATATGGGCAACATGGTCTACAGACAGTCCTTCTCAGTGTCTGCCAGTCGATCTGTCCATATTTAAATTTATGGACTAGCCTGCAGCAGTGATCCTCTTGGCCAAGGTCCATCCTGCCCGTATAGTGAAGGACACACCACGTTGATCTCCCCCACATCCTCTCTTTCTCTCACACACACCATGCCAGACTCATTAGTGTAATCATCATTCTCTCTGAGTGATGTGTATTATGGTGGGAGCTGTGGGACTAGAAAAGAATAGACGGTCTCTCTCTCTCTCTGAGAGAGAACCGTGCCCCGGCTCTGTGTAGAGGCCGACTCCTCAAGATACATGTATATGGTGCTGTTGGCGCACACAGTGAGCATGATAAAGACAACTCCAAAACAGGCTGATATACTTCCCTATGATAGTGCAGTGGTTTAAAAAAATTTGAAAGGTCAGAAAAATACAAATTATTCTTCAATGTTCTCTTTGTCTTTATATTGTTCTCTCTCCAGTGAAAAGGTCTGTGGTGTCCATTTGATATTTCAGAGGCGTTCCATGTTTTTTACTATCTCTCAGGGAGACATACGAGAATTGGAACACTTTCTTCTTCCACACTGAGCTACTCTGTGGACCTGTGTGTGTGTCTCTCTCTCTGCTATTTTATCAGTGCGCAGGTGCACATTTTTCACTGTCAGGTCTGGAGAATTAGTGACCCAAGTGCAGCTAGGTTATGCAACCTTAGCAAAGACACACACAGTAACTCGGACTGACCGATATAAAGAGCCACAACATGCTATGAAAACAGAGTGAAACACTACCCCTCATGTTTAGCTCATTTAGGGCCAATTCAGACAGTGTAGAGTTACAGTGAGAAACAGTCATTTATGAATGTGGTCTGGGTCTGTCTGGGCTGAGGAGACCTCGACCCTGCTCCTCCTCTTCATCCTTCTCCTCCTCTTCCTCCTTCTCCTCCTTCTGCTCCCCCTCAGACCCCCCTCTTAGCCAGTCTGCCCCCCTCCCCTGCCCCCCAGAGCTGGGCTTACTGAGGGTTCAACCAGGGAGGAAGGGAGGGAGTTTACAGTACAAAACAAGCTCCATAACTGTGGAATTAATGGAGGGTATTAATTTACGGAGTGGCTGCAGTTCAGGATTTTCTGGAACCTGATTTGCTGTTGCAAAACATGTGGAGATTCCTGAGCATGCGGGATCCACTAGCCTACCTCCTTTCAGCTGCTGCTCAGTCACTCCGTGACTCCGCTGCCTTTTGTACACAAAACAGTTCGAACAAACGTATTCATCTGTCTGCTGTAACAGTAGGCTATTGCAAACAGAAGCATGACACAAACAGGTTGTCTAGCAATTTCATGTTCTTTTTTCAGGAGGGGAGCTACATGCAGCTATTTAGGCCAGCTATATGTAGCCTACACAGCATAACAAACGAGCAAGACACAGGCAGGCAGTCAATAGCGATTTAATGTTCTTTTTTCATCATCATTGCAAACGTTGACTAAACGGGAGGCAGATTCCTGGCTATATGGCAGCATAACTATAAAGATTACATCATCACACAAAACGCTAATGGTTTTGCTAGTGCTACGGCAATATCCGTTCCAACAGACAGAGAAGGTTGTAGCCGGCCCTTCATATATATTTTTGGAACGTTCGTTTGAATTGCAGCTGTTCAGAAATATGCGGCAGAGACAGACATAGGCTAAATCATCATTTCGATCATATTGGTTGAGGGTTCAGAAGAGGGTGAGTAAAGAGAGAAACGTGAATGTGTGTTAATAACACATGCGCAGAACGTGATTCGGATCCTTAGATTTGAGAAATACGTTTCCGGAGGGCCAGGGCGGGGGTGAAAACTCTGTAGTCATAGCCTCAGCCATTCATTTATTGCTCCTCTCTTTCTGTACTGTAGACAGACTATACCTGTCCTGTCCTGTCCCACTGAAAGGCCAGTAGGATATTGTAAGCCCCCAGGAGAGACAGTCATAGACAGGAACTCAACCATCCTATCTGTCTGCAGATCTGATTCAATTGCAGAGCAAATGACTACACTAGATACTGATGACTAGTGTTTATGACTATGAAGGTGTGTGTTAATGATTGCATGTGTGCAAAAGACTACAAGAGAGAGGCAGAACGTATTCCCGTTCTGTACCAGCTGAATAAATAACCGTGCGGTATAAATCATAGGCTCCTTACTCTGGGCCAAACGCTTAGCATAGAGGGTCTCTCTGAACAATGCCACCTGTTTCTATTCTAGACTGCTTCTTCAGATGTTTTATATAGCCAGTACTATGTTACTACAAGCAAACTAGTAACAGACACAGATAGAATCATAAATGATGAATGAGCATGTGTAGCTCTCGAGCTTTGCATATTATCGACATGCACAGACATACTGTACAGTACAATATTCAACAACACAGTCACAACACAGGTGCTCTGCACAACAGGCCGTGCCAGACTCTTTCTGCTGTGTGTTTGGCATGACAACAACAAGGATGTTGGCTGCTAGACAGAACTAAAAACAGACTGACCACCAGGTTACAGCCCATTAGACTGACCACCAGGTTACAGCCCATCAGACTGACCACCAGGTTACAGCCCATCAGACTGACCATCAGGTTTCAGCCCATCAGGATGACCACCAGGTTTCAGCCCATCAGGATGACCACCAGGTTTCAGCCCATCAGACTGACCATCAGGTTACAGCCCATCAGACTGACCATCAGGTTACAGCCCATCAGACTGACCATCAGGTTTCAGCCCATCAGGATGACCACCAGGTTTCAGCCCATCAGGATGACCACCAGGTTTCAGCCCATCAGGATGACCACCAGGTTTCAGCCCATCAGACTGACCATCAGGTTACAGCCCATCAGACTGACCATCAGGTTACAGCCCATCAGACTGACCATCAGGTTTCAGCCCATCAGGATGACCACCAGGTTTCAGCCCATCAGGATGACCACCAGGTTTCAGCCCATCAGGATGACCACCAGGTTTCAGCCCATCAGACTGACCATCAGGTTACAGCCCATCAGACTGACCATCAGGTTACAGCCCATCAGGATGACCACCAGGTTTCAGCCCATCAGGATGACCACCAGGTTACAGCCCATCAGGATGACCACCAGGTTACAGCCCATCAGACTGACCACCAGGTTACAGCCCATCAGGATGACCACCAGGTTTCAGCCCATCAGGATGACCACCAGGTTTCAGCCCATCAGGATGACCACCAGGTTACAGCCCATCAGGCTGACAACTTCTCCTGGAAGCACAAGGAAAAACCGCAAAATCCACATGCTTGCAGCATTCTTATAATGTAGTACTCTAATAAACTAATGAGGAAATATGACAACATTGAACAAACAGAGCCAAAACCGAGCGCCAGACAGTGTCTCTGTGTGCCAATGAACCAGTCAAAGACTGGCACGATTTGGTTCCATAATAGAGGGAACTATGTGATAGTGATATGTGACAGTAACATAGAGGGACTATAGCTGAATAGGAGAACACAGGCTCAGTCATCACCATCATACAGATAAAACTCATTAACTGTCCTCCAAACCAATAAACTGACAAAAGCTATGGAACTGAGTGAGGGAGGGAAAAGCTACTTCAATGTTGCTTAACAGAGAGCCTACTATCTCTGGATATGGGTATTTGTTGGTTTAGAGCTGATATAATCTCTCGTCAACTTAACTGGTACCGTAGAATCCATCGGGTAGGAATGGGATGCGTGGGATAATGAACAGCAGTAGTTCCGGTGTTTGGGTTTTTCATCACTGGTTATTTGGACAAATCACGATTTCGCAGGTGTTAGCATCTTTCGACCTTGGGAAGGGGAGGGGGGATTTGGCCCGTAACTTAGAAAAAGAGAGGGTGGAGCTCCTCGTTCCAGGTCCACTCCTCGTTCTAGCATCTCTTGATTCCTTCTCTTAACATGTATGGAGGACGGCTCATAATAATGGCTGGAATGGAGTGAATGGATATTGTGTGTGTGTGTGTGTGTGTGTGTGTGTGTGTGTGTGTGTAGGTCACAGTAGCATCCTGCAGGCAGCCTGAGGGGGAACATTCTAATGAATGAGGGCCAATCAAGACAAGACACTAGACATACAGAGACCCAGACCCGGGGCCAGAACCAGGCCGAGCCAAGCTAGATCAAACCAGAGCCAACAGACCAGGGCAAACCCTGAGGGCCTGAGGATTCTTCTTCAAACAAACCCAGAGACAGTTAGAGTTCACTGGAAATCCCCCCCCCCCCAACCCCCCGCCTTTGTTGTTCTAACTGAGCTTTAAGAGGAAAATGGCTGAATCAATAATCCATTAGTGTTTCCTGTCTTCCTGCCTTGGTCTTTTAAGGTAAGCTGAGGAGGGAGGGCATACATTTTTGCTGCTCGTCCTTGACTGTGTGGTGTGTAGACAAATGCTTAGAGAGGTCAGTCTGAAAGGTCATGTCAGCCACTGGCAACCTGCTCTTTGCAGTTTTTTACGATGGATTCCCCTCGCTGAGCTTCCGTGACATGAGAGGTTATGATAGCTTTTCTAACAAACTGCTCTTTTTCCCCTCTTGCTTGACAAAAGCTGATGTCTAAAAGGTAGCCATAGAATTGCACTCTGTTCTGTTCTCTCTTTACTGTTTTCTGTTTTCTTGTTTTTCCTCCTAACTAAGATCCTACTACTGTGTTAATGCTGCATACTGCACCTCTCCTGCTCTAACAAATGAGTTTATAATGGGAAGGAGAAACGTGAGTTCAGAGTTTAAATATACTTTATGTTCAATGCATCTTTGTCAGGTGGTTTATATGAGAAAAATAAACTCTTAATGTTAGCGAATGATAGGGAAGTCTATGATCTGATCCATATACAGTGGGGAGAACAAGTATTTGATACACTGCCGATTTTGCAGGTTTTCCTACTTACAAAGCATGTAGAGGTCTGTAATTTTTATCATAGGTACACTTCAACTGTGAGAGACGGAATCTAAAACAAAAATCTCCTTCCCTCAGTAAGAGCATTGAAGATTGGTCGTGGCTGGGTCTTCCAGCATGACAACGACCCGAAACACACAGCCAGGGCAACTAAGGAGTGGCTCCGTAAGAAGCATCTCAAGGTCCTGGAGTGGCCTAGCCAGTCTCAACACACAGCCAGGGCAACTAAGGAGTGGCTCCGTAAGAAGCATCTCAAGGTCCTGGAGTGGCCTAGCCAGTCTCCAGACCTGAACCCAATAGAACATATTTGGAGGGAGCTGAAAGTCCGTATTGCCCAACAACAGCCCCGAAACCTGAAGGATCTGGAGAAGGTCTGTATGGAGGAGTGGGCCAAAATCCCTGCTGCAGTGTGTGCAAACCTGGTCAAGACCTACAGGAAACGTATGATCTCTGTAATTGCAAACAAAGGTTTCTGTACCAAATATTAAGTTCTGCTTTTCTGATGTATCAAATACTTATGTCATACAATAAAATGCAAATTAATTACTTAAAAATCATACAATGTGATTTTCTGGACTTTTGTTTTAGATTCCGTCTCTCACAGTTGAAGTGTACCTATGATAAAAATTACAGACCTCTACATGCTTTGTAAGTAGGAAAACCTGCAAAATCGGCAGTGTATCAAATACTTGTTCTCCCCACTGTAAAGGAGTCAAAGGTCGCATCCCAAATGGCACCCTATTCCCTATATAGTGCAGTACTTTTGACCAGAGCCCTAGGGAATAGGGTACCATTTGGGACGCAGACATAGAGTTATGTGTTTGCCCAGTGGCATGTCTTTGTGCGGTTGGCTGCATATCTATATTTCCTCAGCTGTGACGTCAGTATACAGAGGATAGGACAGGGCACGCGGAAGGGATGGGCCTGGCTCTCTCTCTTTTCTGTGGGCAAGTGTGCCTGGTTTCTGGCTACAGCCTAGTTTTACTGTCTATAAAGTAAACTGTATGTTTAAGGGTAAGTAGTGTAGGAGAGCAAGACTGACCGTGAATATAGACCAATAGATGTAAAGACAGAGAGAGACAGAGGGGGGAACAACATACACAGAGATATAAACAGACAGAATACTGAGAGAGACCAGGAAGATGGATGGATGGGGATGGATATAGATATATAGAAAATATATAGCGCACACAAACAGTAGATGGATCAGAATACAAACAGGAAGTGTATGTGTTCTCACCAATTTCCTCTCTGCCTTGAGCTCTGTGAGGTACCGTGAGAGTTCAGCGATGATCTGAGAGGTCAGGTTCTCAGCGATGACCTCGTGCTGTCCTGCGTAGTCGTTCAGCTCGTTCAGCGTCGACAGGAAGGCCCGGCATGATGTGTATCTGACAGGTCACAGGAAGTGATGTCAGAGGAAGTGGAGACGTAGAGGGGCCTGACACAGCATCTTATCTAGGGTGCTATAAGATGCTCAGATGTTGGAAGAAACATTAGGCCTACTTCATTAGCTACGAAATTAGAGGAAATAGCCTAATAACTGACAATCCAAATGCAATACAGTATATAACTGTGATTTAAGTAACTTTGTGGTTGCGTATGGGTGCCAAACTCACTTGTTCTCCTCCTCCTCTCTTGAGTTTTTCTTTGGTTGATACTTCTTTGATAGATTCCTGTGAAAAAATAACAAGCAGCAGGGTTCTGTTACTACTAGATACAACCACAGTAATATATACATATATAGTTACTACTAGTTACAACCACAGTATTATACTGTATATAGTTACTACTACAGTACTACTACGGTATGTTTATGGTATGTTTGGGTGGCAGGTAGCCTGGCGGTTAGAGCGATGGGCCAGTAACCGAAAGGTCACTGGTTCGAGTTCCCGAGCCGACAAGGTGAAAAACATCTGCCGGTGTGCCCTTGAGCAAGGCAATTAACCGTAATTGCTCCAGTGTCACCGCTGATAATGGCTGACCCTGGCCGTGACCCCACTATCTGAGGGTGTCTCAGGGGGAGTTGAGATATGAAAAAAATATAATCATAATCCACGTGGGAAATATAAGAACCCACCAAATTATTATTATTACAATGTGTTTAGTATCCCAATGGGTTATTATAATAGCACTCCACTGTATTCCTCCATTACTGATGTTCATGTCACTGTGCCAATGGATCATCTATACCAGAATGCTTTCTGCCATCCCTTCCCTCCCACCTCCATCCCTCCATCTCCACGCCCTCTGTTCCAGTAATAATGCTTATGGCCCCAGGACCATGAATTCACAATCAGTCACCATGAAGAAACATGCTTTTCTCCTCCAGACTTCGCCCTCTTTCTGACATTGGCTGCACAAGCCTGCTGGCACGAGATGAGTGAGTCAAATCAAATAAATCAGGCTGGCATACAGATTTAGTAGGTAGTATGCTATATAAAACAGGCTGGCATACAGATTTAGTATGCTGTATAAAACAGGCTGGCATACAGATTTAGTATGTAGTATGCTGTATAAAACAGGCTGGCATACAGATTTAGTATGTAGTATGATGTATAAAACAGGCTGGCATACCGTACTAGTATGTAGTATGCTGAATAAAACAGGCTGGCATACAGATTTAGTATGCAGTATAAAACAGGCTGGCATACAGATGTAGTATGTAGTATGCTGTATAAAACAGGCTGGCATACAGATTTAGTATGCTGTATACAACCGGCTGGCATACAGATTTAGTATATAGTATGCTGTATAAAACAGGCTGGCATACAGATTTAGTATTTAGTATGCTGTATAAAACAGGCTGGCATACAGATTTAGTATGTAGTATGCTGTATAAAAAAAGGCTGGCATACATATTTAGTATGTACTATGTTGTATAAAACAGGCTGACATACTTATGTAGTATGTAGTATGCTGTATAAAACAGGCTGGCATACATATTTAGTATATAGTATGCTGTATAAAACAGGCTGGCATACAGATTTAGTATGTTTTATACAGCATACTACATACTACATCAGTATGTCAGCCTGTTTTATACAACATACTACATACTAAATCTGTATGCCAGCCTGTTTTATACAGCATACTACATCAGTATGTCAGCCTGTTTTATACAACAGGCTGGCATACAGATTTAGTATGTAGTATGTTGTATAAAACAGGCTGACATACTGATGTAGTATGTATTATGCTGTATAAAACAGGCTGGCATATAGATTTAGTATATAGTATGCTGTATAAAACAGGCTGGCATACATATTTAGTATGTAGTATGCTGTATAAAACAGGCTGTCATACAGATTTAGTATGCAGTATGCTGTATAAAACAGGCTGGCATACATATTTAGTATGTAGCATGTTGTATAAAACAGGCTGACATACCGATTTAGTATGCTGAATAAAACAGGCTGGCATACTAATTTAGTACGTAGCATGTTGTATAAAACAGGCTGACATACTGATTTAGTATGCTGAATAAAACAGTCTGGCATACAAATTTAGTATGCAGTATGCTGTATAAAACAGGCTGGCATACAGATTTAGTATGTAGCATGCTGAATAAAACAGGCTGGCATACAGATTTAGTATGCAATATAAAACAGGCTGACATACTGATGTAGTATGCTGTATAAAACAGGATGGTATACAGATTTAGTATGCTGTATAAAACAGGCTGGCATACAGATTTAGTATGCAGTATAAAACAGGCTGGCATACATATTTAGTATGCTGAATAAAACAGGCTGACATACTGATGTAGTATGCTGTATAAAACAGGCTGGCATACAGATTTAGTATGTAGTATGTTGTATAAAACTGGCTGACATACTGATTTAGTATGTAGTATGCTGAATAAAACAGGCTGGCATACAGATTTAGTATGCAGTATAAAACAGGCTGGCATACAGATGTAGTATGTAGTATGCTGTATAAAACAGGCTGGCATACAGATTTAGTATGCTGTATACAACAGGCTGGCATACAGATTTAGTATATAGTATGCCGTATAAAACAGGCTGGCATACAGATGTAGTATGTAGTATGCTGTATAAAACAGGCTGGCATACAGATTTAGTATTTAGTATGCTGTATAAAACAGGCTGGCATACAGATGTAGTATGTAGTATGCTGTATAAAACAGGCTGGCATACATATTTAGTATATAGTATGCTGTATAAAACAGGCTGGCATACAGATTTAGTATGTAGTATGTTTTATACAGCATACTACATCAGTATGTCAGCCTGTTTTATACAACATACTAAATCTGTATGCCAGCCTGTTTTATACAGCATACTACATCAGTATGTCAGCCTGTTTTATACAACAGGCTGGCATACAGATTTAGTATGTAGTATGTTGTATAAAACAGGCTGACATACTGATGTAGTATTTATTATGCTGTATAAAACAGGCTGGCATATAGATTTAGTATATAGTATGCTGTATAAAACAGACTGGCATACATATTTAGTATGTAGTATGCTGTATAAAACAGGCTGTCATACAGATTTAGTATGTAGTATGCTGTATAAAACAGGCTGGCATACATATTTAGTATGTAGCATGTTGTATAAAACAGGCTGACATACTGATTTAGTATGCTGAATAAAACAGGCTGGCATACACATTTAGTACATAGCATGCTGTATAAAACAGGCTGACATACTGATTTAGTATGCTGAATAAAACAGTCTGGCATACAGATTTAGTATGCAGCATAAAACAGGCTGACATACAGATTTAGTATGTAGTATGCTGTATAAAACAGGCTGTCATACAGATTTAGTATGCAGTATGCTGTATAAAACAGGCTGGCATACATATTTAGTATGTAGTATGCTGTATAAAACAGGCTGTCATACAGATTTAGTATGCAGTATGCTGTATAAAACAGGCTGGCATACATATTTAGTATGTAGCATGTTGTATAAAACAGGCTGACATACTGATTTAGTATGCTGAATAAAACAGGCTGGCATACACATTTAGTACGTAGCATGCTGTATAAAACAGGCTGACATACTGATTTAGTATGCTGAATAAAACAGTCTGGCATACAGATTTAGTATGCAGCATAAAACAGGCTGACATACAGATTTAGTAAGTAGCATGCTGAATAAAACAGGCTGGCATACAGATTTAGTATGCAGTATAAAACAGGCTGACATACTGATGTAGCTCTCTCTCTCTCTCTCTCTCTCTCTCTCTCTCCAGTTTAATACAGACTGACAAGCACACGCATGCGCGCACACACACACAACCACACACAGTAGGCTACTCAATCAGCCTATGTACAATACACTGTACCAGACAGCCAATAAAAACCAGGTAAACCTATTAGAAGAATCCACCTACATACAGCAACAGACCAGACAAGCCAATTAGATTTTAGCAGACAGATGCAGAGAGAATCAGGAAGCATTGAGCATGCTGCATGGCAGGCAGCGAATGGTGAGTCACATTGTAGCTAGGTCCTCTTCACTCATGCATGGTGTGCTGCTGTTTACTATGCTGATGTTTGGACCATTAACCCTCTCAGTAGGAATAGAGGTCAGGTCCTACATGGTGAGTACAATGAAGGTCAACAGAAACAGTAGAATATTAATAGAACCCCTGCAACGACATGGTCATGGCTGCCCTTTTAATGTCAACTGTATAATCAAAGGAAAAAACTACTGCTGCAATAAAGACTATTATATTACTGTACCAATATAACATGAACAATATTAACCATGCTGACTAACAACTAGTCTAGAATTCATTGGTAGTGAAAAAGAAGACAATAATCATCCTTATTATTAGACTAACATGTAGCTCGAACTCAGCCATTAACAAGGCAGTATACATCATATTTTTCTGAGATGTAGGCCTATGTGTTCCTCCTCGACAGTACTGCCATTGAAATTCCATGCTGCTTCGGATGTAGGCTTTAAAAAAATAAGCATAACTCCATCATGAATGAATCATGCATGTGGTAAATCTCTCTCTCTCACACACACACACACACACCCACCCTACTCCTCTAACCTTGTGCCTGCTCTGTTGCTAGGCAGATCTACTTCTCCCTCTCTCCCCCTCTTTTCCTCTTCTCCCTTGCTTTTGAACCTGGCTGTCTCTCACTCATGGCCAGATGTCATGGCAGAATGCATTTGCCCTTCCTCCTCCTGCTCCGTAGTGTATTTAACCAACACAGAGACAGCCAGAGGGTGCCTATAGGACTTACTGAGGATTAGACCAGTGTGTGTGTGTTGGGGTAATGGAATATCAATTATTGTGCCCCATATTGGGTGATACTGTGCCATTTCACCACAGTGTATTTGTAATACCCATTCCCCTAAGTAGTATGCACACAGACAGTCCTTAACCTACTGTACTCTACTGTGGATTATGCCAATGTGTGTTACTGTGTGTAATGCACTGTAGCCTACTGTACTATATTGAAATATTGTGCATGTTTATCCATTCGATACAGTGGAGGTGGGTTTAACCTAGATTATACCAGCGTATGCTGTTTGGTTTGGTGAAATGGCAGGCCTAATGGTACTGAGCACTGTGCATTGTTCAGCCAGCCATGGTATCTGTCTACACGCTACAGCATGGATTGTGTACAGTCTTAAATATGCATTTGGTCAAATTTTCCCCCATTTCTCTTTTGATAATGTCTATTGATGCATTGTAGTGCCATGTTATCTGCAGAGCAGAGTGAGGTGTTTGTCTTGTTGAGCGTTTATTGCTAATGGCTGAAACAGTGGTGCCAAACTGCCCACCAACCATCTGTAAGATATTTCACACACAGCAGAGAGCTATCACCCTGTTCAGGCCCAGAGACCATAGAACAGATCTATCAAAGATCTTACAGACACCACACCATAGCTCATCAGAACTCTCATTCACACTGACAAGGTGAAGCCACAGTTGAATTACAGCACTGAGGAAAGGGAGAGGAGAGGGAGGACAGGAAAAATAGTTAAAAACAGGGGAGAAGAGAGGCAGGAAAGAGAGGGAGGAGGAAAAAAGAAGAGAAAAACAGGAGAGGCGAACCGAACCTCCTCCAGCACAAAGGAGTGGCGAGGGGTGGATGACCAAAGGGCCAATTTCAGTGTGTTTATTAGATTGTGTTTATTAGATCTAGCAGGGCTGTGTTCTATTGGTCTGAGCGCACCCAGTAGATTCAATCTGCTTTAACAAGCAAAGTTTATCAGGGGGAGAATAATTAGTCCAGATGGGGATGCAGAAACAAACAGCACACACAAAGATGCACATTGTGTCCAAAAAAAACCAGAACAACCTTTTTTGAAGCTTTATAAACAGGCCTATCCATTCTGTAATTTGCTAATCCTATTTTCCTGTGATAGCAGTAGGCCGTCCGGGTAGGAAACAAATGTGTATTTTCAGATGGAGAGATATGAGTCCTACAGTTCTACTGTTTAAGCAGATTGAATTAAAACATCAGACTGCCACATCTGCAGAGTCATCAGGTTCAATAAAACACATCATAACATGGACTATCCCTGTGTCACAGATACCAAAGTAAAACACAGACGGAAACTAATTAGGGAATTACGTGTGTGTGTGTGTGTGTGTGTGTGTGCCATGCAAACAGAGAGTGAGGAACTACTAGTCCTATTATCTCCTCAGTAAAGGAAGATTTATCTAGAAATAGAAGGAGGAGGGGTTAGGGGTTTAGGGGTGCGGGATCAGTACAGTAATTAGTCTTTAGCCCTCCTCTTCGCCCTCTCTCGGGAACCAGATAAGGGATTTGGGGGCAGACCTCTGCTGTTTGTTGTTGGGGTGTAAGAGGGCCTAGGAAGAGTATGCCCTCACCCCTACCCTATTTGAGGAGAGGGGGGCTTGGGGGTGTTTAAAAGGGGGGCGGAACTAAATTACAGACACTCCACTGTGATTGGAGGAAGAGAAATGTGGGTCAGTGCTGGCTGGGGATGATAATATTGATACCTTGTTACTATGGAAACACATGCCTCCCACCGCCCGCCAACCTTACTTCCTCTCGCCTAAAGCAGAAAACAGCAAGAAAGCACTGTTGTGCCAGAGATAGAGACAGAGAGAAACCTAGAGAGAGAAAGACAGAGACAGAAAGAGACAGAGCGAGAAAGAAAGACAGAGAGAGAGAGAGAGACTACAGAATCAGAGAGATGGAGTGAGACAGCGAGAGCGACAGAAAGAGAGAGAGACAGGGATGGATAGAAAGAGAGGGAGAGATAGACTTCCGTTCCAGGCATCATCATTCTGTTTATCTAGCCATCCACCTGGGTAAAGCTAACATCCCTAGTCTGTCAGGCTGAGCTCTCTGATAGGACCTCACTTAAACAAACTCAGTAGTAATGTGCTCCCTGCAGGCTGAATGAGGTGTACACTGTCAAACTGTCAGTGACTTTGTCTGTGTGGAAACATGAAAAGCTTGTTTTTAATGGCAGTGAAATACAGTATCTTATACAATAATAATAATAATTAATTTTAAGCACTTTTCAAGACACCCAAAGTTAGCTTACGTACACAAGATAATCAGCAATTAGCCAGATAATTAGGCGATATGTTATAATTATGCTATACTTTGTACGCTGAAGAAGGCTGAGGCCAAAATGATTTAATTATTGAAGAATACAGTCCATTTCATTCACTGGTGAAATATCTAGACAGAGAACTAGACTTACATTATCATAACAGGGCAATACAGAAACACTCACCTAATCTGCTTTGCATAGTTGATTTCGATCTCCGATCGCTCTTTGACGAATTTACTGTACCTCTCCACGAACTCGATGCCGGACTGTGTATGCTTCTCCAGGTTATCAAACTGATCCTGCAAACAGAGGAGGGAGAAAGAGAAACAGGCATGAACATAACATCCATTTAACATTTGCCACAAATGTAAACCTTACTAGCTGCAAGGACGAAAAGTTGCCTACATGACCTTTTACATGTGTTGACAACGTGAGTTAGCCTCACTTTTTGCCAGCAGTACTGAAATGCCAATTAGTTTAACGGTTCCAGATATCCATTATAATGGCTGTACAGCGCCTGCTCAAATGACTCACAACACTGTTTGTGCTAATATTTTCCCTTCTCAAAGGCCAAGGGTTTCACAGTCAACAATTAGGTATATTCTCTCACTTTGCTGCGGACACTTAAAGCTGTAACTTTTTGGGAAACCAGACAATGAACTATAGATCTGTCATTCTCATTGAAAGCAAGTCTAAGAAGCGGTAGATCTGTTCTATGTGCGCTATTGCTATTACATGTTACCATGTTTACGTTTCGTTTTTGCATCTTTTACTTACGGTTTTGTACACCAGATTCAAACAGCTGAAAATACAATATTTTTGGAAAAGGTATTTCACAGCAGTTGAGGTGGTACCATAATTCTCTACACTCCTTGATTGTTTTGTCACATAAACTGAAATTAGTCATTTTAGCAACCAGGAAATTGCAGAGAGCTTTTCTGCATAGTGCATCTTTAACTTATTATCCAAGTCTGTTTGGCACACCTGCCTTCTAATAAGCTAATAGGGTAAAACAAAAAGAGTTCAGATAATTGAATTTAACAGTGGAACAAGCTGGCCTTTCTACCTTAGTGCCTAGTCTTAGGGCCCCCTGCAGCCAGGGTTGTGGGTTCGATTCCCACGGGGGGCCAGTATGAAAAAATAATGTATGCACTCACTAACTGTAAGTCACTCTGGATAAGAGCGTCTGCTAAATGACTAAATGGAAATGTAGTCCTTCCTGGAGCTAGCTTTACCGATTCCAAAGAGACTTACCAGCCAAAGCCACCAATCCGATAAAATGGCTGACTTACTTTATAGACTTTGGGGGTTTCATAAACAGCTAATAGTGTGGCTATGACACACATTGTCCTCTTTGGAATAATGGATGCCTGTAGTATTGCTGTACTTTGGTTACAAGCAGAAACACTAATCATGTAGTGTTGAGGTTACAAGCAGAAACATTGTAGCTATGCAGTATTGAGGTTACAAGAATAGACACTGTAACCCTGTAGTATTGCTGCAAGCTACTTTTGTTACAAGCAGAAACACCTCCACCGATGAACTGGCCCTGACTCAGAGGGACTTTCCACCATTTACAGAAACCCATTCAGCCTCCTTCACTCACATCAAGTAAAGACTTCAACTGTAGGCTAGTTTTAGAGTACCCTAACCAACAATGGCCTTGTACATTATTGATAGCTTAATACAGTTATTCAGCCTAACCACTGTCCCTCATCTGTACTGTGCAGTCTAACCAAAATGTGCATGATTGTCAAATTCATCGTTTCCATTCATTGTCTCTCCTCTGTCATATAGCCTAAGCATGTGTAGAATAAAGAACAACTTCATGATGCTGCATAATGTTACCTTATCTGTTGCCTTATTAAAACACCTGATTTCAGCCATAATTTCTGGAGAAAATAAAAATGAGGCTACATTCCAAACAGGCTAGCCCATATCCAACAGTTCCACTGTACTACATGTACAACAGCCTACAAAAAACATCCCTACTGTTGGGGATCACACACTCGAGTAGCCTACCCCACAGAACATTTTACAATGATGAGTCTCCATCCATTGACAGTACTAACAAAGGAACACAGACGATATAGCTTGGTTCGGGTTAGTTTTACATTCACCTTGGTATAGCTCCAACAGTTCCCCATCCTCTCCTCCATAATCTGTAGTCCACCTCAACCCAAACCAAATGTCTGTCCTCCTCAACCCAACCAAAGCTGCCTGCAGCACTTCATGCAGTATATTTCCCAACTGTCTACTGAGCTACTGTCCCAGACCAGTCTTATGAGCTCGACAGGGTTCTGAGTGGGGGTGTCTTTGTGCTGCTTTAATCCGTCGTTTTACACAGCCTGACTGCTCCAGCTAGCTGCCTCAGACACAGGAAGTGGATGTGGCTTGAACAGCTTAGCATTCGTGTTTGATAGCTACCTAATAGTACCATTGCTACAATGAACACAATGCTACAGCCAACATGAAGGAAACACATGTTTAATACATGATGAGTGTCAATGTATGGGATGAATGAAAGCATGAAAACCATGAGTGTAGCTAGGTACTGTAATAAAACATGGATGATTGCTATATAGGGCAAACAAGGACAACAGCAGCAGATATATTCAGATGGAGGGTCTTTTCACACCAACGTCCCTCAGTTGCAACAACCCCTCATTCATGAACCCACTCACCAACCCACTGATGTGAAGAGACGTGAGATGCAAAACAATTGGCTATTCTATTGAATTACAAAAGATGCCCCAGTAGCTTCCTCTCTATCATATTTTATACTTTGCCACTCCCCCCTCTCTCTGCAGCATGCTCTCCTCATCCCTTCTTCCCTGAGGAAGTGCTCGCCACTCGTTGTCAGCATCCGTGCCAATTAAATTCAGCAGATCTCCTCACAGCGTTTGGTTCATTAAAACACTGGATAGCAGCCACTCAACAGGAACTCACCATAGAAACACATAATGCTGCACCTCAAAATACATACTTGCTATAATAGAGTAATCCTCCATACCTCACTGCACCCAAACACACCCTTCACTAACACGCACAAAACACACCCTTCACTAACACGCACACAACACACCCTTCACTAACACGCACAAAACACACCCTTCACTAACACGCACAAAACACACCCTTCACTAACACGCACAAAACACACCCTTCACTAACACGCACAAAACACACCCTTCACTAACACACACAAAACACACCCTTCACTAACACACACAAAACACACCCTTCACTAACACACACAAAACACACCCTTCACTAACACACACAAAACACACCCTTCACTAACACACACAAAACATATCTTTCACCCACACGGAGGACCATTTTGAAAGAAGTGTTTAAATGAATGTTTTCAAGTGATATCCTCTGGAATCCAATACAGATCTTGTTGTTGCATCTATTATTAGGCTATTTTTATTATTATTTTGCCCCAAAATAAAGTCACATTACCCTTCTCAGTTGAGACAGCATGGTATCCTATAGTTGCAGAGGGGAAAGGTCCACCCCTGTCCAATGTCAAAATCCAACCCTCCCCTTCCCAGAGTAATAGCTAAGGCAGCCTCAATGTGGTTAGGTAAGAAAGGGTATCATTCTCCAGAGGTTCAAGAGCAGTATGTTATTCCTTATTCCTTGACCCTATTCCCACCACATGGACCAAAATCTGCCCTGGTCTGTCTGAGAGAGGCACTCATCTGTCTGGAACCAATGAGGGTACCGGAGCAAGTGAGAGGGATGCAGTACTGACAGACACACAGACATTCACACTCCTACACACACTCCACATGTGACGCCAGCCGTAGCCTGGGAGCACACAAGCTAAATGTTCCGTCAGGCGTGAGGTGGACTCAGTGGGACCGGAGACGGGGAATGATTCATAGAGGAGAGGAAAAAGGGGGGTGGTAAAGAGGTGGAGTGGAGAGAAGAGGAAGAATTAAGAGGGAGGGGACTGGAGTGGAGAGAAAGAGGGAGGGGACTGGAGTGGAGAGAAAGAGGGAGGGGACTGGAGTGGAGAGAAAGAGGGACCAACTCCTCTAAGGATAATGAAGTGATGACCAACATCACCTCATTCATTACCTGGACAACACACGGCAGCAGGACTGTGGGGACACTTCTGCGAAAGATGTGTCACAGTCACAATGTGACATATGTTGTCTGAATACATGAATACTAGGCTAGTTCATATATATGAGAGAGAGAGAGAGAGAGAGAGAGAGAGAGAGAGAGAGAGAGAGAGAGAGAGAGAGAGAGAGAGAGAGAGAGAGAGAGAGAGAGAGAGAGAGAGAGAGAGAGAGAGAGAGAGAGAGAGAGAGAGAGAGAGACTGGCTTTCCAGTAAAAAGGAAAAACCCTTGGCCAGGCGATTCCCACAGGCGAAAAATAGCAAATAAATTATTAATAATAGGCTACTGCACATTGGAACAAAATATCAAGGAAAACTACAGAGAGGGAATCTGTGTCAAAGGCTCACGCTAATATCACACAAAGCCATCATCACCATATTCTATTACACGGACATATCAAAACAACGGCTCTAGACAACCCAGCAGAGAAAAAAGGGAGGGGGCAGACAGTCAAAGCATTTGTAGTCTTGCTCACCAGAATCTTGGGGTTCCGCTTCATGAAACACTTCATCATTGTTTCAATCTATTTCTGAAGTCTATATAAAATCTGCCTTCATATTGAAAACACCTCAGACGGTCTCATTGTTTTATTCTGATGAAAACATGACTATGGGACATAGCGCCTCTCTCTCTCCTTCTCTTTCTGTGCTACAATACCATATCACTCCTGGTATAATCCAGGCTGCTCTGCCTTTTATACCAGACACACTGTGGACAGCAGCCAGCTTCTATATAATACATTAGCCACCACTAGAATGCTGCTGCCGCTGTGTATGAGAATGGACTTTCTGGCTGCATCCCAAACCATTATTAATAATATAATAATCTTCTTCTTACATTTTACATTTTAGTCATTTAGCAGACGCTCTTATCCAGAGCGACTTACAGTTTGTGAGTGCATACATTTTCATACTGGCCACCTGTGGGAATCGAACCCACAACCCTGGCGTTGCAAAGGCCATGCTCTACCAACTGAGATACAAGGAGGCCTTCTTCTTCTTCTTCTTCTTCTGTCCTTCTTCTTCCATCCTTCTTCTTCTTCCGTTCTTCTTCTTCTTCCGTACTTCTTCTTCCATCCTGCTTCTTCTTCCGTCCTTCTTCTTCTTCCGTCCTTCTTCTTCTTCCGTCCTTCTTCTTCTTCCGTCCTTCTTCTTCTTCTTCTCCTCCTCCTCCTCCTCCCACCTCCTTCTATGCACTTCCCACTTAAGCCACAGAAGGCGGTAGAGGGTAACAATGCCCCCATTATACTGGCCCCTGAAGGTGATCGGTCAACAACACTCAGATAGGGTCTGCAAATCATTGAAGTACTCCCTCCCCCCTCTAAATCTCTATCGCTCCCTCTCCCCCCTCGTCTCGCTCTATCTTTCCCTCTCTCACTTTTCCGTCCTCTCTCTTGCGCACTAACAAACACATTCCATTGACACATCAGTTCTCCAGAGGGACTGCTGTGGTTGCTTCTTTTTAATCTCTGTCAGAACACCAAAGAGCTACAATTCAACAGCCAGAGGCAAGACCTGCATAATAATGGTCCTGTACACCTTGTTACATGACGATTCACTATTACAGGCCTTAGAAGAAGAAAGACAAAAACTTGTGATTAAATGTTTGACATGGTGCCCTCTCGTTCTGAGGGGAGTGAAAGAGGATAAATGATAAAAGGAAAGATAATGAAACCATCCATTCAGAACCTTCCAAAATACTAGACGGGGAGCGCCAGTGATGTTCACAGATCTGTGAGTAAGACTTTTAAGCAGGTCAACATTCACAAGGCCGCAGGGCCAGACGGGTTACCAGGACGTGTATGCCGAGCATGTGCTGACCAACTGGCAAGTGTCTTCACTGACATTTTCAACATGTCCCTGACTGAGTCTGTAATACCATCACGTTTCAAGCACACCACCATAGTCCCTGTGCCCAAGGACACTAAGATAATCTGCCTAAATGACTACCGACCCGTAGCACTCACGTCTGTAGCCATGAAGTGCTTTGAAAGGCTGGTCATGGCTCACATCAACACCATTATCACAGAAACCCTAGACCCACTCCAATTTGCATACCACCCCAACAGATCCACAGATGATGCAATCTCTATTGCATTCAACACTGCTCTTTCCCACCTGTACAAGAGGAACACCTACGTGAGAATGCTATTCATTGACTACAGCTCAGCGTTCAATACCATAGTGCCCTCAAAGCTCATCATTAAGCTAAGGATCCTGGGACTAAACACCTCCCTCTGCAACTGGATCCTGGACTTCCTGACGGCCCGCCCCCAGGTGGTAAGGGTAGGTAACAACACATCTGCCACGCTGATCCTCAACACGGGGGCCCCTCAGGGGTGCGTGCTCAGTCCCCTCCTGTACTCCCTGTTCACCCATGACTGCATGGCCAGGCACGACTCCAACACCATCATTAAGTTTGCAGACGACACAACAGTGGTAGGCCTGATCACCGACAACGATGAGACAGCCTATAGAGAGGAGGTCAGAGACCTGGCCGTGTGGTGCCAGGATAACAACCTCTCCCTCAACGTGATCAAGACAAAGGAGATGATTGTGGACTACAGGGGGAAAAAAGAGGACTGAGCACGCCCCCATTCTCATCGACGGGCTGTAGTGGAACAGGTTGAGAGCTTCAAGTTCCTTGGTGTCCACATCACCAACAAACTATCATGGTCCAAACACACCAAGACAGTCGTGAAGAGGGCACGACAAAGCCTAAACCCCCTCAGGAGACTGAAAGGGTTTGGCATGGGTCCTCAGATCCTCAAAACGTTCTACAGCTGCACCATCGAGAGCATCCTGACTGGTTGCATCACTGCCTGGTATGGCAACTGCTCGGCCTCCGACCGCAAGGCACTACAGAGGGTAGTGCGTACGGCCCAGTACATCACTGGGGCCAAGCTTCCTGCCATCCAGGACCTCTATACCAGGCGGTGTCAGAAGAAGCCACCCTAGTCATAGACTGATCTCTCTATTACCATACGGCAAGCGGTACCGGAGCGCCAAGTCTAGGTCCAAAATGCTTCTCAACAGCTTCTACCCCCAAGCCATAAGACTATTTGCACTGCCCCCCCACCCCAACCCCATCCCCCTCTTTTACGCTGCTGCTACTCTGTTTATTATTTATGCATACTCACTTTAACTCTACCCACATGTACATATTACCTCAATTACCTCGACTAGCCAGTGCCCCCGCACATTGACTCTGTACCGGTACCCCCCTGTATATAGCCTCCCTACTGTTATTTTATTTTACTGCTGCTCTTTAGTTATTTGCTTTTATTTTTTTTTACTTAACACTTTTTTTATTTTACTTTTTTCTTAAAAAGACTGCATTGTTGGTTAAGGGCTTGTAAGTAAGCATTTCACTGTAATGTCTACACCTGTTGTATTCGGCGCATGTGGCAAATACAATTTGATTTGATTTGATTTGATATAAGCTTTTTAGATTCAGATTCTGATTCATTTGTTGGCACATAACCACAAGTTGGTGGTTTGCTGTTGAATCTTTCATACTAATGGAAGACTGCTGGTGCTAGCCAGGATTGGGCAGACTCAAAGACGCTTCCAATCATGACAGGCTAGGACTGGTCTGTGTCAAACCTCACAGTAAGTTACACTCCATATGTTGTAGGCTGTACAGCCACAGCCACTACAACTACCTCCAACACTTCTTTACAGGTCAGTGCTCTCAATAAAATCCCATGTCAGAGTCACAAGAGGAAATCAATAGGACATTAGGAAGAGCCAGAGAGGTAAGGGGTCAGTGTTCATGGTTGAACAGGGCAGCTGAAATATGGGAATGCTATCTAATATAGGGCTGACCCCAATTAGTCGACTGGTCGATTGTTTGGTCGCTAGGCTGTTGGTCGACCAAGATTGTTTTAGTCGAGCAGTAACAAATATATATATATATTACCAGTCAAAAGTTGGACACACCTACTCATTCAAGGGTTTATCTTTATTTTTACTAATTTTACATTGTAGAATAATAATGAAGACATCAAAACTATGAAATAACACATATGGAATCATGTAGTAAGCAAAAAAGTGTTAAACAAATCAAAATATATTTGAGATTCTTCAAAGTAGCCACCCTTTGCCTTGATGACAGCTTTGCATTCCAACCGTAGTGTCTTGGTGAGACGCAGAGTAGGTGCACGGATGATCTCCGCATGTGTGGTTCCCACCATGAAGCATGGAGGAGGAGGTGTGATGGTGTGGGGGTGCTTTGCTGGTGACAATGTCTGTAATTTATTTAGAATTCAAGGCACACTTAACCAGCATGGCTACCACAGCATTCTGCAGCGATACGCCATCCCATCTGGTTTGCGCTTATGGACTATCATTTGTTTTTCAACAGGACAATGACCCAAAACACACCTCCAGGCTGTATAAGGGCTATTTGACCAAGAAGGAGGATGATGGAGTGCTGCATCAGATGACAATCACACGACCTATAGGCCTAACTAGGGCCCAGAGGTTTTCCTTGGCTATTGGCCTAACTAGGGCCCAGAGGTTATCCTTGGCTATAGGCAGTGCTTAAGTTGGGAAGAAGTTCACCGCAACTAAGTACCGGCACCTCAAATGTTCCACTCCAAAATTATTGCGGAGTTCCTGCACCTAAATATAAACAGTACCGGCACCCAAATTGAGTACCGGCACCTATTTCAGTCAAGTCAAGCACTGGCTATAGGTCTAACTACGGCCCAGAGGTTTTCCTGGTCAGTTCAAGTGGACAGAGACAAACTCCGGGTCCTTGTTACGAGGAAGTAGTTCCACTGAAAAATATCACATAGGCTACAGTACTATAAAATATTAGGCTGATTAGAGAGATTTGATTTCTACGAAATAATAGATCAGGATAATAATCAGAAATCCCATCCTGATTTTAGCATCTTGAGGAAGCTCCCCAGAGCTTGTTGCTGAGATACTGAATTGGACCTATGTGCACTAAGTCACATGATGTAGCCAAGAGGCTATCCTGTTGGCACTTGTGGTAAACTTCCAACTCATGATCTAGTAAACGAAACATACAGAGCCAACGGTGAGGACCACAGGTCTGTATATCAATATTATCACTGTTTTACTAACAGAGGAAAAGTACTTTCGTAATACAGGATTATCCTTGATCTCTTATAGTCAAAATGTCAGATCTATTTAACAGAACTGGGAGGTGAGAGGGGGTTTTAAATAGTCATTCTAAGAATCTCTCTCAATGATAGTCTCTGATGCACAAAATATCCCTAATTGGTTGGTTGGTTGTGTAGGAGAGACTCATTAGTCATCCACTTATCTGCTCTCGAGAAGAAAAACGTTGAATATCCCATCGCTGCTAGTATACATGCACCAACAGAAGTTCTGGTCCTGGCCTGTCTAATAAACTACATCACACAATGGAGCAAAATGCCTGATTACTCAGTAGTTTTCCTATTCTAAACAACCAACAAATGCCATAAAAAGATTCATTCTCTCTCGCTCTCTCTCTCTCATATATATATATATATATATATATATATATATATATATATATATATATATATATATATATATATATATATATATATATGCATTTCTTCTGTGTGTCTCACGAGTGTGGGCATCCGACCACAAGGACAAATATTTTGTGGGAGATGCCGACCCGGGTCCCGAGCACACAGAGGCTTTGTCCAGCGGACTGGGTGGGAACAATACTCTCTACAGGAGAACTCAGTAACCCATGGCCCGAGGGGACAGACACACAAATAGGAACACAGACACGCATGTGCGCTCACACACACACTTGTCCACTAGACTAGTGATTTTCACCACAAAAATGTGCCTTGGTGACATAAAGACATAATGTACTTTAAGTGCCCCCTTTAACCCCATTCACCCCCCCACACACACACTCCCCCTAAACAATGACTTTACACAAGACTGTTATCATTAACCTAGACTGGATCTGAACTGAAAAGAAGGTCTCCCACCCTCTCCCCTCTCTTTATGTGGCAGTTTCAGCCTGTTCTAAACCATAAGCAATGACTCCTCATCACCCTAACTAAAACCAGCTCTGATCTTCCCCATGCTATATAAAAAAAACCTGTGGCATTTAGAATGGCATTTATTGCAACAGCCCAGATAACCAGTCTTAATATTTTGCCTAGTCTCCTCTTTGTTTCAGCTGTTGGCCAGTTGATCTATTGATAAAGTATTCAAAAGTGTCCTCTAAAATATGTATACACACACGAACACGAACACGAACACGCACA